CTGCTCATTACCTGCGTAATATCTATTCTCCCCTTCTTTCTGACAGAACCCCACATATCTAGGGTGGCCATGCAGCTAGAAGGAGCCAGTAAGATACAAGATGGCAGTTAGTAAGACTTCTAAGAAGACTCTTTAAAAGAGCTGACTGAACTATAAAATGTGCCCTTCTGAGTAATCTCCTCTGCAAGTCGTCTTCTTCCTGCCCAGAACATCTGGTGGAACAGATGAGAAGTAGCCTGGGACACTGATTTTGTTGGGGTGGCCATACAAACCCTGGTCTGCCTCCTCCAACAGGTATTTTACATGAGGGATAAATAAATGTATTTATGAAAACCACTCTTATATGCCTTTCCTGTTATAAGCTGTCAAATCTCTTCTAGATGTAAATGATACAAATATCAAAGTTAAAGAGGTATGTGTAGGATTGTGAAGGATAGGACAAGGTTTACCAAGCAAACAGGAAAAAGAAAGTCATTCCAGTCAGGGAGAGTCATGCATACACAGTATGTTCACTGTGGATCAGGCATGTGGATGATGGTGAGGGACAGAGGATAACAAAGAGACACAGAGATCCGGCAGGAATCAAATCAAGAACTTTTGCATGGCATGATAAAACAAGTCAGTAGCAAAGCGCTTAAGAATTTCAGGCTGGGTGCAGTGGCTCAAACCTGTGATCCCCGCACTTTGGGAGGCCGAAGCAGGTGGATCACTTGAACCCAGGAGTTCAAGACCAGCCTGGGCAAGACAGGGAGACCTCAGCTCTACAAAAAAATACAAAAACTAGCCAGGCATGGTGGCACATGTCTGTAGAAGCAGCTACCTGGGAGGCCGAGGTGGGAGAATTGCTTGAACCTGACAGGAGGAGGTTGCAATGACCTCTGACTGTACCACTACACTCCAGCTTGGCTAACAGAACAAGGCTGTGTTAAAATAATAATAATAATAATAAAAAATAAGAAAAAAAATCAAACAAGGAGAGGGCATACTTAAATGTGTATTTTAGGAAAACTGTGATAAATCAAAGGCAGAAAAACCATTTAGAAAAGCTACTGTAGTTGTTTGGGTGAGAGATGAAGAGTATTTGAGGAGATACACACTAGAAAATGACATAAGGGAATGTTCTATATCTTGATTGGGATGTTGGTTACAAGAGTGTACACAGCTATCAAAATGTGAATTGTACACTTAGGACATGTAAATTTATTGTCTATAACTACATTTCTTTTTTTTTTTTTAAGTATTTCAAATACAGCAAGCTAAAGAGTGATGAAGAAGAGACAATTAGAGGCATTTATAAAGTAAAATGAACAACACATCATCAAAATGTGGGGAAGTTAGTGACAAGGAATATAGGGTGACTTTGAGTACCCAATCTGAATGACTACAAGTTCAGTGGTTCATCTGAGATTATGAAAAAAAAAAGGTGGTGGTAGGGGCAAGGGAGGGTAGTTAGAGAAGAAAAAGGAGATTCTTTAAATTTTAAAACACTGAGTTCTAGGACCTGGGAATACTCAGATAAGATGAAAAGACTCAAAGAAACAGCTTGGGCTTGAGGAATAATTAAAGTATAATTGTTAATACTAAGAGAACACATGGAAAGGTAGCAGAGGAGTGTTTCTCAACTTGGGTGATGTGCAAAGGTCCGGGATAAAGCTGGCATTTGACAAAACAGGTCTTTACTGTGTGGCATTTGGTCTTTCTGGCCTTCTTGGCAGGTAGAAAAGGGGAAGAGAATCACCTTCATGTGAGAACCACTTGAAGAGTAAGAAACCACATAGGTCAAGGACAAAACCCTGAGGAACACCAACATTATGAACTATATCCAAGAAGGAGTCTGAGAAAGGCCACAAAGGTGGGAGCATCTAGAGCAAACAGTCACATAGTAATACATGATCAAGAACGGCAAAACAAAACGAACGGCAATAAGCATTAAATGTCACCACAGGGTCAGTTACACGGAATTGAAGTTGTCAGATGGATTTAGCAATAAAGAAGTCATCAAATGACACTTCAGAGGATTGGTAAATAGAACCCTGATTGACATAAATTCAGGAATAAATTGAAGGTAAGGGAGTTGTCAAAGAGTCTGAATGAGAAACTAAAGACTACACTGGCTAAAGCAGAGTCATGGTCATGACAGGATTTATATTTGATTGTCCGGGTTTTTTCTAAATATGAGAAAGACCTGAGCATGTTTAAATGCTATAGTATAGAAGCCAATAGAAAGGAAGGAGGCTAAAGATTAAAAAGAGAAGGCATAAGTGACGAAGTGAACATGCAGCAAGTAAAAACATGCCTTAAGGCAGCAACAACCTGGAAGGTGCCAGTAAGAAAAGAAGATCAAGAGTTCAACCAGTCTTTTGATTCAATAGAAAAGGGCTGACAAAATAGAAGGAAATGAAGTGTAGACACAAGTGTTTCAGAGGGTGAGCAATTACAAGTGATGATCAGGTTCAGTCTGTGGCAACTGAAGTGGATTAGTATTTGCAAAACCCAAAGAAGTAGATGACTAGGTAGTAAAAGATAATTTCAACAGCGAACTGTGAACCAGGTGCCAGTTTTTCAATCAAGGACTGAGGCTGACGTAGAAGCCACTGAATTACGGTGATAAAAGGTAGAGGATAACTGAGATGATTATCACTAAGTCTGAAAGAGAAGGGATTTTTATATTAAGAATATAATGTTCACCTGAAGTAGGATTAAAGTATTTAAAAAGAAAGGGAGGGAGAGAGTAAGGGAAAAAGAAGATAAACAAAAAGGAAGAGGGTAGAGCAAAGGAGAAAATAGAAAGGAAGGGGAGGGGAAGAGAAAAGAAAAGACAAAAGGAGGCCTCAGAGATACTAGGGGAGTGAAAGACAGCAGCTTCAACTTGGCAGAGCTGAAAGGGAAGCAGTGGCTTCAGGAAAATAGAAAATTCTAGTTCAGGAAATGAGATGGACTGTCCTTAAGGAAGGAGCAAATGGATACTGTTGGCCAAATTAAGAGCATTATATGTATTTTAATGCAAACCCTCCAGTAAGGTATAAATTAATATTGCTGTTTTACAGGAGGAAACTGAGGTTCAAGATTAAATAACTTTTCCAAAGTCATGCTGTCAGTGAAATGGCTGAACTAGGGTTTGAACTCACATCTGCATGGATCCATTATGGACATTTGCTTTCTGTTACATTTCTTATGTTTTATTAAATTTACAACCTCACTTTTATTACTTCGCTCTCTAGCCTTGGTAATATATCCCCTCTCAATTAATTTCTGAATTTGTACTTTCCTTCTATGTTATGCCATTATCTCTGAGTGAAATGTTTTCCCCTCAATACACCATCTAATTCAGGACTCTGACTTTCTGAACAAACTGTTCAAAACTCTTCCTATACCCTCTAAGAAATCAATAAGTAACTCTGCATGACTTACTTCATTATTTTTTTAGCAGACACCCCTTAATATTCAATTGTGTTAATGTTTATTACATGTTTCTGTATGGGTTATCCACTTTAGTTTGCAGGTAGGTCTTCCCCACTACAGTAGTTTACAGACACCTTGAGGACAAGAGCCATTTCTAGTATTTATTTACTTTTTATTCCTCCATTATACCCAGGTACAACTCCCTTTTATCAGGCACAGAGTGGATGAACAGTGTGGCTTATAAATAAGTGATGAATACACACACACATATTTAAAAAGCATATATTTATATTTTTTCTAAATACACAAAGTATCTTTAGTAAAGGTCTAACAAGCAGTAAAACAACAAAATAATCAACAAAACAAAGAATAGAACCAAAGAGCTATATGAATTAAAAAGCAGGCAGTCTCTAAATAAAGACTGATACATACAGTCATTAAATATGAGGAAGAATGTTACTAAACAAATTAGTCTAGATTCAAATGTAAATGCCTTTTTCTAAATTTATAGACGTAATTAAAGACTGAAACAATAACTTTTTTTTTTTGGTTTTTATTCCACAGTAAATCAAGCTGCAGCCTATTCCACCTATCTTTAGGCAGTGGCTTTTATGAATTTTTTTCTCAGAATAACTATATGAACAAAAGAGCCCAGGTTATCAGAGCCAGTAAAATGTGTGTACTACATAAAAGCAACTAAACATTTTCCATGGCTCTACATGACAGGTGTTTTCTAGTTTGGTATAAGCATTTATAATTTACACCATATGTGGTGTTCACCTTTTTTCCTGTGTCTTGCTCACCAATGACATTTTATTTGCACATACTTGTTCAATAATAAATCTGTATTCAGGAAAGACAACATAAATATGAAATCTATACACTGAAGTTAGCCAAAAGTGAGCATTGGTTTTTTGCTCTAATTTACTTTAATGTAAAAACAGAAATGGCTATTTCCTAAAGAATGTATTTTAGAAGATGTTTCAAATGAAAGAGAGCACCATCATTGCATCAGTATGAGAAATAGTAAATTATCTATCTTCTTGGTGTTTTCAATCTTTTAGAAGTGCTGCTGCAAAAAAAGAGTCTTGTTTAAAGTGTGTCATCTTATATTTCTCAAACAACTGCCACAGCTTTACATACTATCTGTTAACGTCACTCAGGTAAACACTGATTCAAATGATTCTTCTTCATTTTAATCAGACTACCAAGAACTCTTGTCAAGGCATTCTTCTCTGATAAATTTTGCCACAGAAACAATCTCAAAATGATGTGTAAGGCACATAACCTCACTACCTTAAGAAGACAAGGATTAGTAAAATAAAGTTAAACATTAATTCAGGTTTAAAAAATATCTAACATCAGAAACAATCTTACCTCACTGTAGAGTTACTGAAATGCACAGTTTTCACCACATTAACTAACACTGTGGACTCTGGCTTTAACCATAAAATGGACACTGAACTGTCAAATTAGATGTGATCAAGAGAGCAATATTTCAGTTTTAGTTGCTTCTTCCTACATTTAAGCCGATATATTTAAAACATATTCTATTATTCAAGTAGTTATGGCACAGTGTGCACATTACTTTTACTTACCAAGTCATATATCTGGTTTGCCAACTGAACCTTCTCATCTGCATCTTCCAAAGCTTTATAGTAGTCCTAAATGAAAATATTTTCATTTCAAAAATAAAATTAATCCTTAAAAAATATTCATATGCAGGACATATAACTGCATTTTCATTATCATACCTTGTTATTACAGCCAGTCATCCTACTTTAGTAATAAAAAGCCTGTTAGAAGCTGGGCACGGTGGCTCACGCCTGTAATCCCAGCACTTTGGGAGGTCAAGGAGGGCAGATGACTTGAGGTCAGGAGTTCAAGACAAAAATGGCGAAACCCCGTCTCTTAAACATAGAAAAATTAGCCAGGATTGGTAGTGGGCACTTGTAATCCCAGATACTTGGGAGGCTGAGGCATAAGAATCTCTTGAACCTGGGAGCTAGAGAAAGCAGTGAGCAGAGATGGCAACACTGCACTTCAGCCTGGGCAACAGAGCAAGACTCTGTTTCAAAAAAAAACAACACAAAATGAAAGAAAAACCTGTTAGAAATAGGGTGGGGATGGGAAAGGATTAGAAACTATGCAAAATGGCCAAGAGTTAAAGGGAGATGTTCAGAATTTCTAGAAAGAATATAATTAAAAATAAATGCCATTCTAGGTCTAGAAAAAGCTGTATGAGTTAATGAACAGTATTTAAAATAAAAAGTTAATTAAGCTTGATCTAACTTGTAAAGTACATTTGCATTCCATTAAAAACATTTTTTTTTAAGCTGAGCTACTGAAAGGATTCTGATCTGCATTTCCCTATTTTGCAGTTGTTCTATAACTCTCACTTTAAATTAGGTATATTTTCATACAACTCAACCTGTATTTTAGATTCTGCCTCAACTTACTAAAAGAAAAGAGGGGGAAGGAAGAAGATACTATGAATTTCCATGGGGTACTAGACTTTTCAGGGTATACTCAAAGTGCACTCTACCAAAACTTTATTAGGTTAAAGAGATGATTAGTGACTTTGCGATGTACATGTATCATGCCTGTATTCACAAACGCCTGTGCCTCCAGGTATCTTCCAAGCCAGCACTACTCTGTTATAGATTATGATTTTTTTTCTAACAGAAATAATTTTCCCTTCATGAAGTAGAATAAATAACATAACTACTCATTTGTAATTTCCAAATTTCTTTCTTAGTTGAACCTTTTTTTTNTTTTGCTTTGAGACAGAGTCTCACTCTGTTGCCCAGGCTAGAGTGCAGTGGCATGATCTAGGCTCACTGCAACTTCCGCTTTCTGGGTTCAAGTGATTCTCCTGTCTCAGCCTCCCAAGTAGCTGGGATTACAGGCACCCACCACCACACCCAACTAATATTTCTATCTTTAGTACAGACAGGGTTTCACCAGGTTGGCCAGGCTGGTCTCGAACTCCTGACCTCAGGAGATTCACCCGCCTCAGTCTCCCAAAGTACTGGGATTACAGGCATGAACAACCACACTCAGCCTTTTAGTTGATCCTTGAACAATTTTATGAACACTGGGTTTAGGGAGGCATTATTATTCCGCAATATTAAGACTTGTTTAATGTCACAAGCTAAATAGCAGAGTCATGACCAAATTCAAGTCTTCTAAGTTGTTCTTTCAATGTATCCATCCCTGAATGAATTCGATCATACTTGTAAAGCAAACTTCGAGGTTTGCATGTATACTCATTCAATTCTGAAAGAGAGGTATAACCACCATAAAACTGACAAAACCTCAATTCTACATTTCCAGACAAACGTCATATACAAATTTAGAGTTTTAAACTAAAAGGCTTTCTTACATTCCTTCTAACTTTTCGGATTTTGTTCTTCTGTGGGTCTAATTTATGTACCTAGCAATATATAAAATATTCTCCAAGATCTGCTGATGTTTATCTACCCTAGTTTGTGGTCAAAACTATAATACAGTACTCCGTCTCTGGAAATGACTCAACTTTAATTATATGGAACTAGAATAAAACAAACTAATAGGAAAAAATGTACTTTTTAAATAGTTTGTCACTTTCTAATAGTCACCAATTATTGAGACAATTTTTTAAATTACCAAAATGCTTTAATGACTAAAAATCCCTATCTAGAGCTCTAAAACACAATAGCCATTAATAATATTCCCTCATTTTGATATCTAGAAAACTATTTAAATTTGAAATATCTTTTTCAGAGCATTCCAATATTTCTTGATAAACTTTTTTTTAAAATTCCATTTTAGGTTTTGGGGTACATGTGAAGAACATGCAAGACTGTTGCATAGGTACACACATGGCAGTGTGATTGGCTGCCCTCCTCCCCATCACCTATATCTGGCATTTCTCCCCATGCTATCTCTCCTCAACTCCCTAAATTATCCAAAGTGTTGCACATACTTTTTTGATGGAAGCCATTTGTTCTTCTCTCCACTCAGGTTTATTTTTCTTTGCATTCATAAAGAATTCACTGACTCTTTGTTCTAGTTGATCCATTGCATCTATGACATAATAAAAAAATCATATTTAGATGACCAAATTCATATATCAAATATACACGGTTTGATTTAGGGAGAAAAAAAATCTGACAATACACATTCTTTCACTCTGCCAGTAACTTAAATATGTTATTCTTTGATTATGTAAATATGTAATGCCTAAATTACCTTCCTTTAAAGAGTTACAATTTTCCTTATTGATATTTTTGTTTTTGTTATTTCACAGCTTTTTCCAATAGCCTAAGTAGAGTCCACAAAGTAAACTGGCTGTATACTATAATTTTTGAGCAATACAGCATTGGGGTCAAAAGCTAAAGGTATTAAATCAGCCAAATGCACCAAAATACAATTAAAACACCATTAGATAATACTCACATTTCTTTTAACAAGAAAAAGTGATAAAAAGATTTGGTATATAGCATTAAACATCTCATCATGTCATATCCCAACTGAAAGTAATAGGTACAATCATTTAAACATTATTTCTAGATAAGTTTTCCCCCAATTATGTGCCAAGACTAATCATCTCATTGGATGTCTGCTAAAAAAAAAAAAAAAAAAAAAAAAAAAAAAAAAAATGAAAAAAAAAAAAAAAAAAAAAAAAAAAAGGAAAAAAGGATTCTGTCATGTAAATTGAGAAAAATAGTTTTAAAATATACTTTTTTCTGAGATTTTCAGTCCATACTAGCCCTTTAAAGACTCTATGAAGTCCTATGATTTTTTTGAAGCATCTTCCTTTGTTTAAATAAGCATTTCTGAATTTATTTAGCACATTGTTCTGTGAATCCACAATTCCTATATAACTTTAGAAAATTCTAGTTACTGTAAAGAAATGCACTTTTAAAAAGGCTGTAATATGTATGACATAAGCCCAAATTGCAAAATAATTTAAAATTTTAAACAATAAAATATAAAATAATTTAAATTTTAAATAAATTATCCTTTATTTAATGTCTACTTTGTATTAGATGCTATAAATTCTAATTCAACTGTAATATTTTAAATCCTTAGATGATTCTCTTTTTACAATGAAAGCCCCTCACAAGTGGTAATACAGTCAAAATTAGTAAAGCCCTAAAACAAACTCAGATCTATCTGATAGATCAATCCTGCAGAGAAGACTACTTCAGCAAATCTTTAGCATTTCAACTACACTAAATTTAAAATGGATTTTGTGAGATAGCCTGAGAACGACACACACAAAATTCATAATTCATACCACAATCCACTGAAAAGAAGGTGGCTTCCATGCCACCACTTTCTATTACATGCCTCCTGAACTTACAAGAAAAATGTACTCATAAACAAAGAGTATATAAGTGGTGGTGTAGTCATATGCAGAGAAGTCAGGGGCAGTGAAAAGGACAGGTTCTTAGCTATAGCAAGCGGTCCCTGTACAACCTATTTATAGTCCTTGCTCTACTTAGAGCAAGGTTAATTTGTGGAAAAAGTCACAGGACTGCCAAGCTATCACTGAAAGAAAAAGAAATGTTCATTAACTGCCAGATTTTTTTGGTACATCAAGTAAGAAACTTTACAGTGAAATCTTATTTCTGTCACTCATTTTAACTAAGCAAATGATGATTCTGTTACAATTCAAAATGTATCTTATAATGTGTAGCTAACTTTTCAAAATTTGACATTCGCCAGGGTCTCTAAAGAGCTATATATAACCTGCGCTTCTATGCTTTCTACTCTTGAAAAACTGTGAATAGAATTAACTTTATAAGTATAAATGCTGAAATCTTAGTTCGATACGAAAAGGCTCAAGACAACATCTCAACATTTATGCTGACGTCCATTGAAACATAGATAACTATCTCAATGACGGTAGAAAAATATTTTTTGCACAATCCCACATTCTAGAAAGGAATACACGTGTCCTAATGCCTCCTCCTCTTGCAAAAGCCAGAAAGAAGTAGCACAGGAGGGAAGGAGAAGGCGAGATTCAGGACTGCTAATTCTTTCTGACAACTCCTCATGCACTAGCGGAGTGAGCCAGAGGACAGTGAAAGATCATTAGGCGTTAGCAGAAATGACAAGCAAGTCTGGTACTGAACGCGCGCAGCGAACCAGAGTAGTAGACGCGCCAACTTACTTTGCACCTGCAGGTCCATCTCGCGCATCTCCGTGAAGCGGTCCCGCAGATCCATAGGAAGCTGTTCAATCACTGTCAAAAACAGAGTCCGTCAGAGGGGTGGGGCCAACGGCGAAATACGCGCTTACGTCACTGCGCGCGTGCGTCCGGGGGGGTCGAGGGGGCCGGCAGCCCACAACGAGGCTGCCAGTTACCGTGAGAAAGAAACATCCCCCGCCGCCCCCTCCCTCTCCGCCATCTCGCTGCCCGTCCACTCGCGCTCTCGCCCGCCCGCAGGTCCCACCGGCGGCTCCCGCCAGCGCCGCGCACTCACTTTCCAGATAGTCTTCTAGGTACAACATCGCGACCCTTAGAGCTGAGGGAACGAGGGGGTCCAGGGGTTTATTTGTGTCACTCGCTGTCGCCGGAGTTTTGTCCCTTCCAATATGGCGCCTCCGCTAGCAGCACCCGCTCGACTCAGGAAAAAAAAAAAAAAAAAAAAAGAAAAAAACCACTTTGGCGCCTGACGGCGCTTGCCTCACTGCCGCCCGGAGCTGCTATTGGTTGGTTGAAGCAATGACGTAAGCCGGCCGGTTTTCGCTCCTGTTCCTTTGTGGGAAATGTAGTTTTCTTCCTCCCGAGCAAGGGTTGGCACGCTGGCGGCTTCCCTCATAGGAACTACGAACACCAGGAACCGTTGCGAACAGTGCGTAACCGAATCAGAAATGCGGTGCCTCTGTTTATTTGTTGATTTTTGCACAGAGAATGGCGGGAGTTGTATGCGCCTGCATAATGCAACTAGGAACAACTTTTCACCTGTTCTTTCCGTGATTCCATGTCCCGGCGTTTGTGAGTCATAAGTTTCAAGAAGTGCCAGGCAAATAGCAAAGGTTCCAAACGCTAGAATAATCAGCAAAGTTCAGGGAATTTGGATTGCTTAACATAGAACTCTCTGCTGGAATTTATCCTCATTATTAACTCCTGAAATATAAAAGAGACATCTGGTTGGCTTACATGTAATTTTAAAATAGTTTATAATGAGACTATGGAGTGAATATGCATTTCCGAGATTAAAAGACGCACAGATAGTGACAATAGCCACTTATATATTCTAGTTTGCGGTCCATCTAGTTGTCATTCCAGTGTAATTGATCGGTACATACAATCTGATATCATCATCTTCATCATCATCATTATCATAGTGAGCAACCGTGAATAACGCATGGAGCCTTGATTTCTAATAGGCTGAAATAGCAATAATTTTATGTTGAGTAATAGTCCATATTAGAGGTTTGCTGTCCTGGGTGTTCTTTTCTACTTTTTGATCTCTCCCAGAAAATGTTTTCCTGTGATGTATTTAGTACGTCCCTGCTGTTTAAAAAAAAAAAAAAATTATTAACTCTTGCACCCAATAAATAATAGGTATTGTTATTCTTCACTCTTAACTCTTCAGTTTTCTGGGGCAATTGTCATTAGTTCATAATTTGTTGTTCATTTTCTGTTTTTCAGATTGCAGTTGAAACTGTGTGTGTGTGTTTCTTGCTTTCCTTCTTCATCATATACTCTTGTACTCAACGTTTTTACTGCACTTAAGCAGGAAAATTTCCTGTTAGAGACGAATGATGAATAATGATGAATCTCAACGGAACCTTACTACAATCCTAATAAGAATTAGGATTTTTTAGTTTCTAATTTTTTCCTTACTTGCATCTAAATCAAGTACTCTCAATCTTTTTCTACCTTCTTCTTTCCCTCCTTTCCTATTTTCTATCCTTCCTTCTTCTGGCTGCTTTTAAGATCTCTTTGACATCTTTGTGAGTTTTGCAGTGATCTAAGTCTGAATTCCATCCTCCCTTCTTTTCCTTTTATTTGCTTTCCTCCCTTTTATTTCCTTAAATTTTAAAAATATTGCTTAGTAATTTGAGGGGATTCCCGAATTTCAGGATTGGTGTCTTGCAACAATTCTAAAAAATTATCAACAGTTGTCTTTTCAGTGTTGCTTATTTCTCATTTTTTTCCATTAAGACTTTCTCTCTTTATTCTCTTGTTTATCTTACTCTTTCATTTATATGTTTTATAATTTTCAAAATTTTTCAGGTTTAGAAGTTCTATTTGGTTCTCTTTTCAAGCCATTTTCTAATTTCTTATGCAAATTATTTAGTCTATATCTCGTTTCCGTTAAATCTAATATTGAAACATTTATGGGTCTTTTTGTGCTAAAATGGGCACTTTTGCTCATGGTGCTTGTTTCCTGGTGGGTTGTGATTTTGGACTCTGAATTCGTGTTTTTGGATTTATAAACATAAGGATTCTTTGAGGCTGGAGTTGAAATTGAATTTTTCAGGAGAGCATTAGAATTTGCTACTCACTTTGTTTGGAGACACCATAAACCCTAGGACCAGATTAAATTGTCCACTTGAGGTTTATTGTATTGCTCAGATAGATTTAATTTGGGCCTCTATTCCAAATGGATTGTTACAGATTCTCAAAGTGTTTTTTGTTTTTTGTTTTTTTTTCATTTACTGGGCTCCAAGGCCAAGACAGGCTTGTTTCATTACTGGTTTCTTCTGTGCTTGAGGCATATTTGTCATTTACCCTTACATGGAGAGTATAGTCCATGCGGCCCCAGATTTTTGTCTGCTGTAATACTCTTCCTTTTGAACTGATGCTTGGGTTTATCTTCTGACCCTGGCATGCTGAACAGCTATTAAAGCAAGGGCTCTAGGTGTCCAGAACTTGACAGATAATCTCTGAACAAAAGCCTACTTTGGCTTGCACTTGTTTCTCAGGATAGTCTCATTTTCCTTCTTTATTTTTTTCCCCCTTTTATATTCCCTCTGAAAATTCCTTCATTTCCTACTAGTTTATCAGTGTATTTTATTTTTTTAATCTGGCATTTTTAGTTGTTTTTGCCAGGTGGCTCTTTCAGAGTAGCTAAATGGTATGCTATCATCAATAGAAGTCGGTATAAATTGAGCTTCTTCAGGGAGTGTTCCCCATTAAGGAAAATGAGATAATAAATGGTTCCCAATTCAGTCAGTACAAATACACACTCCAGAGAAACCAAAAATAAAACTTACATACTGTATATTTTAGTTAATAAATGTAACTCTTACTGTTAAAACATGTATCAGCTGATCTGTAGAAATTATGTTTGCATTGTGATAACTACTTACATCATTAGGCCATGGTATCCGTGAAGATACCATTTTTGAGTGGCTGCCTACTTAAACCTATATTGCATTTCCAGGCAGTGCCCTTCATATGTGGATTGATCATATTTGTATCATAGTTTATTAATTTATCAGGGATTGACCAAAGCTGGACCTATCAGATACATTTTCTTGTAATTTAAAATTAGGAATAAAAAGACGCAGAGACTGGTAACTTCATGGTAGAATTATATTAAGCATAGGACAGTAAATAAATACACACTCCAGAGAAACCAAAAATAAAACTTACACACTGTATATTTTAGTTAATAAATGTAACTCTTATTGTTGAAACATGTATCAGCTGAGCTGTAGAATTTATGTTTGCATTGTGTTAACTTCTTACATCATTAGGTCATGGTATCCATGAAGATACCATTTTTGAGTGGCTGCCTACTTTAAAAAGTTGGTGTAGAGAACAAGAGCTGAAGCTGAAAGAACTTGAGAGTTTATGGGCTTTAATTGTTGGGTTCTGATTGTGTAAAGATATCGCAAGCCTCAAGTACTGTGCTTGCAGGGAGCTAACGCTAACCACCTTGCAATAAACCAGTAATCATGAAGGGTTGCTCCTATGAGGTTACCTGGGGAAACAACAATGAAGTTTTCTATCCATCCACCTGAGATCATGGGTGAAAAGGCAACCCAGGGGAATTTAGACCTTAAACCTGAACCATGCATGGGTGAGGAATCCAAATTCAGATTCCTCACAAGGTGCAGAGACCCGTTAAGCAAGACATTAAAAATTGGTCTGGCCTGTTGAAAGATGAAGGATCCCCGGAGAGGCAAATATAATAATATAATAATATCCTTTAGGGATGTTCCTCTTCCTGGGAACGGAGAGGAGCAACTGTTGATGGTGACCTCACATTGGAACACTGCAGATCATTGAAGAAATGAAGACATGAAGAAATTGTTGCAGATAGAATAAAAAGGCGTTCTACAAATGTGAGTACTGGAAGTCATGACTGATGAAATTAAACCAGAAAGTAGAATAAACAAGAAAAAAATAACGTGTAAAAATTGGAGAATCAATCTGAAATTTCCCATACCTGATTCATAGGAGTTCCAGGAGAGAACAGGAAAAAAAAAAGTGGAGACACAAATGAGTACATATTCTAGGATGATATTTAGATGAAATTTCTGAGTAGGTAAAAGTAATCTATGATTATAGGAATAGGAGAGTGGCCACCTATAGGAAAAGTGGAGTGATTAATCTTGGATCCCTTGGCTGACAGGGATTGTTTCTTATTCACTGCTCTGTCGCAAGCATGCAGAAGACACTCAGTTCATATTTGTTGCATGAATAAAGGAAAGTAGTATTGGGTGGTTACGGGCTTTCGAATCATATCTGATTTTGACTCCTGTCTTCCTTATTTACTCATGTGACCTGAGCCAAGTTACTCAAAGTCCCTAAATTGTTTTTTCATTCATGAAATGAGAGTAAGAAAGGACACTTGCATTGTATGATTGTGACAGGTCTCAAAGAAGACAGTGTTTAAGAGTACCTAGCACAGTGTCCAACACGTAAATGTAATTATGAAGAATATTATTTGTAGAATTGACAGTACAGAGATAAATGATCTAGTAAATGCCATGCCAAGGGCACTGCAGTGGAAGCAGTCACCCCAGAGTAGGCAAATAAAGGGATGTATTGTCGTTAGAGGATTTAAAAACAATAATAAAACTGACTTTTACAGTCTGCATTTTATTACCACCATGTGCCAGCAATTCTAAACAATGTCAGTGATGAAATATTTCTCCTGAAAAAAATATTCTGATAGTCTAAGGTCTAAACAGTAGCTTCAGTTTTGGTGAAATTTTAATAAAGGAGACAATACATAAATAGTTGATTGGAAATAAAAGACAAGACATAACTTGAGTTTTTTCAATTATATTGTATATGATCACTTGGAGTTTTTATTTGTGTTTTAAATTTAAAATAGTGAAACTAAACTGCTAGATGTAATATTTTTGTTTACTAAAGGCAAATTTTAGTTTAAATGTGAAACATATTACTGAAATGAATATTTCGAAAATGGAAATGTATTCTTTTAAGGTTGTTATTCTTCTTGTTTTTTATTTAATTGCTATAACATTTTAATGTGGTGTCTCATTAGTGTAACAGGCCGTTGTTTTTTCTTTCCAAAAAATGCTTAAATCTAATTAAAAAGATTAATCCATTACTTTTTTATTCAATGCTATTGTTAATTATTCACTACAAGCATGATTATATGATGAACTTTTGAAAAAAAGAAAATTTGCCTTTTCTGAATTTGTATTATGTTCA